CCAAGAGGGGAAGTATGATCCAGTGTGGACTGTATTTTTGGTAATTTGGCATTGTATTGTAATGTCTATAACATTGTTTCATTATGGATTTTTTAACCTCAATTTGTTTAAACTATTTTGTATTAGAGGGTCTACTCAAATACTACAAGTCAAGGGTTTTTTATTTATTTATGCAGAGCTATATAAATAACTAAAATGTTAGTACTGGACTACTATACTTTAAAAAATTGGAAAATTCCCATTAAAAAAATAAAAGTAAATACCCGACTTGGTCGGCAAGTTCAATATTAATACCGAAATTGACAAAAAAAGCTCACAGTTACTGGAATTCTCAATACCACTGTCTCGTGGTGATAAAAAGGCGACGCTATTAGATTCTTCTCTTAATCCGATTTTCTTCTCCTTCTCTAATGGAGTCCGTCTTCTCAAACGTCGCTCGTGCTCCCGAAGATCCTATCCTCGGTGTACGTACCCAAGATCCGTTTCTTACCTTTTTGTTTGTTTCGCGATTTTCTTGTTTTTCCGATCCAATTCGGTTTTCGAAATCGTCGCGATGAGTTTCGCCTTTTTATGACGGTTGAATCTGATTGCAGAATTTTTATTGTGTCTATGCATGTGAAGGGATAAAGTTTTGATCCATATGCGTTAAACTCGTTTTGTTGATCAATCAATAATCCGTGAATTTGAGTTTGATTTTAACGCTTTTTACGTTTTGCTTACACAGGTCACTGTTGCTTATAACAAGGATCCTAGTCCAGTTAAGATCAATTTGGGTGTTGGTGCCTATCGAACTGAGGTAATTTTTTTCGTTTCCTGCCTAACTTTCTAAGCATCTGTTGTAGTCGTAATGATTCGCGATTAGCGGTTTTCGCCGCGAGCTTTGGGTTTGATTAGTTAGTTTTTTGGCTTTGGTTTTTCAAAGGAAGGGAAGCCCCTTGTTCTTGATGTGGTGCGAAGGGCAGAGCTACAGTTAGTGAATGACCAGTAAGTTAAAACATTTACTAGTAAGTCGTATAGTTTTCTGTTTTCTTGTTCTCTTCTGCTAATGCCTAAAGTTTTTTTTTTCTCTACTCCTTCAAGGACCCGGGTCAAGGAATATATTCCCATCGTTGGACTTGCTGATTTTAACAAATTAAGTGCCAAACTCATCTTAGGTGGTGATAGGTAATTCAATACTGCTTTCTTTTTTCGGTTACGTAAGTCTTTGAATTGTTGTTAATCTGTGTTTTGCTTTGTTTTTGTTTGAGATTGTTGTGACACAATATCCCCTTCTAAATATCCTTGTTTTGCTGGGCAGTCCTGCTATCAAAGAGAATAGGGTTGCTACGATCCAGTGCTTGTCTGGTACTGGTTCACTGAGAGTTGGTGCTGAGTTTCTAACGAAACACTACCACCAAGTAAACTTTTCTCTATTTAGTTTTGATTGGTTTTAACGTTCATTGAATTCGTTAATCAAAGAACTGTGGCTTATTGTGGCTCTCATTCTTCCAGAATGTCATTTACATTCCAAAACCAACGTGGGGGAACCATCCCAAGGTTTTCAACCTGGCAGGCTTGTCTGTGGAGTATTTCCGTTACTATGATCCTACAACCCGTGGACTTGACTTCCAAGGTTGATTTTTAATTTCTTCATGAATTCTGTCTACCTTCGCCGTTCCTTTGGTTTAGTTTGCTTCTGTCATGATTACTGCTTTGATTTAGCCATCCTCTTTACTCTTCCCTAGTGTACTGATCATATTTTTAAGTTTGAAATTTTGAGTAAAGAAATAAATCACAATATTGCATAAAAGGCATTTGATATAGACTTGACTCTCGATTCAAAAAAATGAAAACAGGCTTGATCGAGGATCTTGGGGCTGCACCATCTGGAGCTATAGTCTTACTTCATGCGTGTGCGCACAATCCGACTGGAGTTGACCCAACCCCTGAGCAGTGGGAACAGATTCGACAATTAATTAGATCTAAAAGCTTATTACCCTTTTTTGATAGTGCATACCAGGTAACTCATAAAGGTTGGCTTGCTTGTTGCTTTATTCAAGGGTTGTTTTACAAACAAATGAAACCCTGTAAATCTTATCTGCTGTAGAAAACAACAGCCTGAATTCTTTTTCCTAATACATATGCAGGGTTTTGCTAGTGGTAGCCTTGACACAGATGCACAGTCAGTCCGTATGTTTGTCGCTGATGGCGGTGAATGTTTGATTGCTCAAAGTTATGCCAAAAACATGGGACTTTATGGGGAGCGTGTTGGTGCCCTTAGCATTGTAAGGAACCAAAATTCCCATTTCATTTTTGTTTCCATCCATCTTTCATCTTTTCTTCTGAATAGTAAGATCTAGCAGGTACCAGATGTTTCACTATGGCATGCCTACTAACTTTTTGTCAGAAAGAAACTAAGCATTTAAATTATCACACTTCAGGCTGCGTATTTATAACCTGAAATCTGTCCTTATTTAGTTGGCTTTGCTAACTCCGTAGTAATCTCAATCATTTGGAAACTACCATTTCTCGTCACGTTTTTCAATATGGTTAAAGAATATAATACTCAAACAGTGCATCTAATCTTTGTGATGTAATATGAAGGTCTGCAAGTCGGCAGATGTGGCTAGTAAGGTTGAGAGCCAGGTGAAACTTGTTGTGAGGCCCATGTATTCAAGCCCACCTATTCATGGAGCATCAATTGTTGCCACCATTCTGAAAAGCAGGTATGTGTTTTATCCTGTTAGGGGAGAGTAGTATTAAAAAATTCATGCTTTTGTTTACAGTTATATACTTCTGAAATTTGTTTCTAGGGAAAGGAACCGTTAGCCCTGAGTTAATGTAGTATTACACATTTTTAGATGATCTCATGCGGAAATATATACTAGAACAGACGCTTACATAACTAGTTTTCTTAGTTAATAGGCTAGTGGACAAATAGATGTCTACCGTTCCTTCTGTACCTAGGAACTTGATAGTTTATGCTATGTTGGAATGGTTATATTGAGTTATATACTTTGTGGAATTGTGCATAAAATCTCTTGACATTTTCTATTGTATAATCAAGCTTATAATGAATCTTTGTGTATGGAAGAATTAGGTTGTTCGACTACATGTTTCTGAATTTTCTTTGTATACATCTTGGCAGTGATATGTACAACGACTGGACCATTGAGCTGAAAGCAATGGCTGACCGCATAATTAGCATGCGCCAACAGTTATTTGAAGCTCTACAAACTAGAGG